GGGCCCGCCAGGTTGGGGAGGCGGCGGGGGCCGGGGGCAGCGGGGGGCGGCGCGGCGACATGGCGGCCGCGGGAGGGCTGGGGTGACTGCGTGTGAGAGTGCAGCCGCCGGGAGTGGAACCTGGCGCTGGGTTTCAAACGAATAATAATAAAAAACCGATATATTCAACTTTTTCCTACCTGTAAACTGAAGTAAGTTGACGTCATCCAGAAGCATTCTGGATCTTCGTCAATACCTTGAAGAGGAGTTCTCCATTTCAGATTTCATCTTAGCATCAAGTGCACTCACAAAGTCAGACATTGCCACCGGCTGCTCTTTGAAAAAGAGAAAAGACAAAAATGTTCCATGAAAACCAAAAAAAAAGTGACACGGAAAAATCAATGGCTGGGTGTGTCTGTGCCCTCGGGGCTTGCTCCCGGCCTGGGCTGGCGGTGGGCAGCTACCACTGCCCGCACGGCTGCCGTGACTCCGGGCACCGGCCCACACCGTCGGGTAATAACCGATATGCAAACACTGATACTGCAAGACAATGTTTTCTTAATCTTTTCTGGCCTGGAGTCCATTTCTGACTTAGCAATACAGGCAGGGTAATTTGGTGGTGATTTTCCAGGGCCCCGTTGTGAGCGCCTTTTTATTCACCTCGTGAAATTTATAGCAAAGCACTAGATAAGGTTTCTGTCATCAACTGAAATGCATTCCTATGGCTGGATTATTTTTCCATCTGTAAAATGGGGATATTATCCACAAATGGAAACCGTTTCATTCCTGCTTGTAAACTGCTTGATGATCATTAGATGTAAAGCGCTAGATGAAGTCTTTTTTTATTAAGTCATTTTTGTCAATTCCCTTCTTTATGAGGCAGCATTTGGTACATTAAGCAAGTAAATACTGAAGTGTATGTTTGACTCTCAGGTACAGCTTATCTAAATATCCTAACATCATCATAGGAAGAGGTGATCACAGTCTGACACTAGAACCGCTCATGCTAATGTAAGAGCAATTGGCTGGATGATCCAAAGAGAATTTTGACCTTTTTTCATTTCCTTCTCATCTGCTTAATAGGGCTGAGCAGTCACATACCAGAATATACAACTGCTGCATGACTTCAGCTAAATTCAGGATGCTTTTTGCAAGTAAAGTACCATCAAGATCAGGCCAAAAAGTGTAGAGAGAACATTACTGTTTCGGCACAACAGTGCACTGTCGCTTTGTAGCACAGGGACCTGAGCTTCTGATCAGCACCTTTGTTGTAACCTGCCTGTGTTGCTAAAGGCAACCAGTTTTCTTAAGGTATGCACATCTGAAAGACTGAGTCAGACCTGGCAGAGATGTGGAGTCTAAGATCTAGATTTATCTAAATCTCTGTAACTTTACAGCTCTTCTTTTTTTCTAGGCATGTGTAGGGGGCTCCCTTCTACAAAATTCTGTTAGAACTGTATTTGATCTCTTTGCAGGATGGGTGACGGATGAGCCTCGGGATGCTAGGTGAGGAGTATGGTGAGCGTGCAGGATACCTACGTTGTCTCCTCTTCTAACGGGGTCCTCTGATACAACAGACAGTACTCAAGCTGATGTAGTAATAGGGATGTCACAAGAAATTTCCATTTTGTAACTTAAACAAATTTTCTTGTGATTTTGCAGCCTGAGTGCAGAAGCGTTTTCATCTGCAGAAATAAAGGAACATTTGCATATAAACGTGAGAACTGTGGATGGGGACTGTGTGTGCAGGAGGGGGATTTCTGCTCTCTCCTGCTTCCTTTCCTCTGCCAAATTTAAAGTACGCATTTTTGAAGCCAAGATCATGGACCAAATGCTATACAGCTAAACTCATTTTACTATGACTAAATCGTTTAAAGTTACCACTGATCTATGTTAGTTTAATTATAGATTTGCATGGACTTATTCCAGATGAGGCCTAGATAAAGCAGCAGAATTTTATCATAGGACTTCATTTGTTATACAGAGTGTCATGAATATAATGACACCGAATAAATAATTTACAGTAGCACGTGCCTGGTCTTACTTACAGAATATAAATTGAGAATAATTATACTAATTTTAAAAAGTGTGAGTTAGTATACAGAGGACAATATAACATTCTGGAACAGCATGCAGTATATTAAAAATAAGATAGATAAAACGTGAGAAATGCAGGCTTTGAAAAGGAAATGCTTATATAAGGTTCAGCTTAGTAATTACTCTGATTAGAATAGTGCATATCTGAGCAGTCCAGATCTTCTAAGACTTATTCTAGTATGCAATAGATCATTCTGCCAGTCCTTACAATTCTTAACAACTTGGAAGTTCTGAAAAATCCAGTAGCAGACACTATTTCTTACTGCAATTGAAAGTACGATTGTATACCCTTCAAGAGAGCTAGATAAAGTTGCAATGAAACAAGTAATTTGCTATATCTCATGAACAATTCATATAAAGAGCAAAATAATCACAGCAGTGGTTATTATTATCAGCAAATTACAAGAAGTCAATAAATCGCAAAAGAATGCAAAAGGTGAAAAGGACAGAAAAGGGTTGGTCTAGACTCTGGAATTAAAATTACAAAGCACAGACGGATATGCAGAAACTAAACCATTTTAATCTTATACATAGAATAGAATGACTATCTGCCATCTGGAATTCAGGGAATCCGATGAAGGTTGGAGGTGTAAACAACACACACAGGATTATCAACATCTGTTTTCAGTGCATGCTGATATATATGAGTCCTTGGGGGATAAGGTAGAGAAAAAAATGGGAATTAATAAAACTTGATGATATAAAAACGATCACAACATTGTATTTGTTTAGAGACAATATGGGCTTACACATGCTGAAATAAATAATGCATACAATGTATCAAGTCTGTTTTCTATTAATCTCTTCTTCCAGCTCCCATAAATCCTACAACAGGCCAGCATTCCTAGCAGATGTAACATTTGGAAGGTTTGGCATATGATACCCCTCCAATTCTTCTCCCCAGAAAAGCTAACAGATTAAAAATCAGTAAGTTTTGAAAACTTGTAGTAGTATCTTGTAGTAGTCTTTGTCTCCCGTTCTGTTGCTGAGAGTAAAAGACGCCAGGATGACTATGCCGGTATAAATAAATGGAGTAATCCAAGCCTGAACTGTTACAGAATATGATAAAACTTAAGGTCTGCTCCTTTGACATTCTGTGATCATAAATTAATTACTAAAGACTGCTTATCAATGTTACAAAAAAGGTCCTGTTAATATTTGATACCGAATGGCTTTCCATTTTCAAAGGGCCCACATAACAATATAAAAAATATTAAAAATGTTTTGCACAAACAAACTTAAAAAGATTGGTTGACCAGGACCAATATTTTGTTGCTAGGAAGGGAACAATGATGACATTGATTATTTCCACAGTTAAGAATCCACAATGTAATTGATTTTTATCTGACTCATTTAGTGTGGGCAGGCTCCATTTGTTCAAGAAACCTGTAATATATTCCTTGAATCACTGTAACTATGAGAGATATAAAAGTTGATGTAATGAGTTAAACACACTATTTAACTCAATTTGTTTTGCACACTGAATTCCCATTTCTGACACAGATACAGGTTCTATCTAGATCTACTGGTCGTTTTTGTAAGATGTCTCATCCGTTTTGTGTGCTGCCAAGTATTCAGGAGTTCTCCTTCATTCAGGGTGCCTCTGATTTTGGATTTCCCTATCCTGAGATTTAATTTTCAGATACACTTGCACTTTCATTGAGTAATTGAGACCTGGGATGCCAGCAGATTCAAAAGTCATGCCCAATATTGACTCCAGTGATTGAGAGCACTAGAACAGAAGCAATTTTTTGATCAGGTGCACATTTTTGACACATTAGGTGTCAATTCCTGAAGAGCCGTGGACATTTGGGTCACGAGTTTTTATTGAAACTGCTAGATACAGAAAAAATGCATAGAGGTCTAGCAGGGCTAGAGCTAGGTGAAAAAATAAGGCTTTAATTGAAGTAGCTGCTTCCAAAATTATGCAGAAAATTTGTGAGTGACTGTAATCTCATCTCGAACTACCTAAGAACTTTCTGACGTAAATGTTCTCCAGAATTATTCCAGTCAGAATTGGACAGCATTTACCTACTATCAAAAGCTTATGATTCCTGCTGCTCATCAAGACCTGTCCAGTCACAAATAGAAGGGAATTAACATATAAATAGATTTGAAGAAACTATTCAGTGTGTGTATATATACACACATATATACGTGTGTGTTTTTATAGTACTACAGGCTTCAGGCATATACTATGGGTCTTGGTCTAAGAAAAAAAATCTAGATGTAAGAGCTTTTATTTTACAGCTAGATCTAAAACTTGGACTTGTTGGAATTTTCTTATTTTTAAACAAACAGATTTTCCATTAATGTACAAGCAAAAGCAGCAATCTGGCAGAAGCAGCAGTATTTAGTTTATGCATCTGTATGCATGACTCTCTGATTCCTTTCTCCTTCTTTGCTGATAAACGACATTTTATTAGAAAAAAAGAAAAACCCGATGATCATTAACCACAGCTACTATTTCTGCCAAAAAAAAAAATCAAAGCAGCAGCAATCCTTTCAGTATTAAAATCCAATAAACAATCAGAGCACTTAGAGGTTTTTTCAACTAGGCATTCAACAAGGACATTCCTGTTTAACTGTTACATTGGTTAACTCAAAATGCATTGCAAATGTACTGGGCAAGTCCCTGTTTCCTTGCTCAAAGCAGAAAATTATTTTTCAGACTGCAAAATCTAATTTTTACATTACAGGTGACATGCTAACAATTTGGGTTTTTTGAAAAAAATGCTTCCTTTTTCTTCCTTTCTTGTATAAAGAGAATTGATCCTCTTTCATAAAAGATGATTTTGGTTTTGGTCACCAAAATTTTAGTAGGCAGGCTCTTTGCAGCTCACTTGTTTAACCAAATATGTTTTTGAGAAGCACATGTACATCACCATTCTGACAGGATATAACAAACTGGACATAAAGAAATGACATCGGATTACTCTGAGGAAAAAAGAAAAGTGATTACAAAAAAAACTGTGCAAGAGGAACCATTGTCATACTGCTTTGCAAAGCTGTAGCTTCTGCTACAGAGTGAGGTTTGACACTGCAAAACTGTCCCCCGTGTAAGTGGAAACTATAGTTATACATCCATCGGGCAACTGAACTCTTTTGTTGACTGGCCTTCACAGGTCCCAGACTGCCACTACTCTTCCCTCAAAATACAGCCTTACCTATAGATTGCATCAACAGTTGAGAGAATCTTTGCTGTCTTAGAGAATGATTTATGTCCACTAAAACCTTC